AGCAGGATGAACTCCTCCAGCCAGACCAACAACCTGAAGGACATCTTGCAGAACAAAATCGACGACCTGGAGAAGCAGGTGCTGTCCCGGGTGAACAGCCTGGAGGAGGGCAAGTTCAACCCCAAGAACGAGTCCGAGGAACGCGGCAAGATCGAGAGCACCCTCACTTCGCTGCACCAGCGCATCAGCGACCTGGAGAAAGGTACCGGGTGCTCCCGGAGCCCCCCGCGTCCCCTCCGCGGACCGAGCGGGATGCTGAGCCGCTCCCTCCGGGTGCCTGCGGGCGGTTCTGCCGAGCCTGGCTTGTTTTCCACCCTTGGAGCGGTCTCTTTCCCCCAGCTTTAGCCAGACGGTGCCCACGGGCTCCACGGCCGGAGCCGGGGATGCTCCGGGCACTGCCCCGTGCTGGGGATTAGGGAGCCGTGCAGCGCCGGAGGGATTTGCTCCTCGCTGCCGTCTCAAGGCCCGTTACATAACGGGGTGGGGAGGGGGGGGACCCCCAAAGCGGGCAGAGAGTGGGGGTCCGGCCGGAGCCCACCGCACCTCCACCCCCACAGGCCAGAAAGACAACCGGCCCCCGGACAGGTTCCAGCTCACCTTCCCGCTGCGCACCAACTACATGTACGCCAAGGTGAAGAAGAGCCTGCCCGAGATGTACGCCTTCAGCGTCTGCATGTGGATGAAGTCCAACGCCTCCCCCGGCATGGGCACCCCCTTTTCCTACGCCGTGCCCGGGCAGGCTAACGAGCTGGTGCTCATCGAGTGGGGCAACAACCCCATGGAGATCCTCATCAACGACAAGGTACGGCCCCAGGGAGCGGGGAGGGTGCCCGGCAGGGGGGCACCATGGGGGACCCCCGTACCCACCACCCTGACCCACCACCCGCAGGTGGCCAAACTGCCCTTTGTCATCAACGACGGCAAGTGGCACCACATCTGCGTCACCTGGACCACGCGGGACGGCGTGTGGGAAGCCTACCAGGACGGCACGCAGACCGGCAGCGGCGAGAACCTGGCACCCTACCACCCCATCAAGCCCCAGGGGGTCCTGGTCCTGGGCCAGGAGCAGGTAAGGGCTCGGGGGAGGGGGGGCAGGCATGGGGGTCCCTGCCCTGCTGGGTCAACCCCAAGGGGATGGACGGGGCCGGGTGCTCCCGCAGTGGGATGGAGCAGCCCGGCCGTGCACCCCCTGTGACAGTGGCTCCTCCGCAGGACACGCTGGGTGGCGGGTTCGATGCCACGCAGGCCTTCGTGGGGGAGCTGGCCCACTTCAACGTGTGGGACAGGAAGCTGAGCCCCGGGGAGGTGTACAGCCTGGCCACCTGCAGCACCCGGGCGCTCGCGGGCAACGTCATCGCCTGGGCCGAGGCCAACATCGACATCTACGGCGGGGCCACCAAGTGGACTTTCGAGGCCTGTCGCCAGCTCAACTAGGGCCACGGACAAGCGAAAGAAACCTCCTCATCGGGTTTTGGGTTTTGTTTTTTGTGGGTTTTTTTGTTTGGTTGGTTGGTTGGTTGTTTTTGTTTTTTTTTTTAAATTGCAAATATGGAAACTAGCAAGACTAGCAGGTAGTGAGAAATGAAGTTTGGGTATGGGTGTATTTCCTGCAAATTAGCTGAGGGGGGGGAAGGCGACAAAAAAAAAAATCCAACTACTATGGAAGAGATGATATAAGCTACAGTAATACCTTGTTCCACCCTTAATCTACACCGAAATCTCTGCAGTGTTCCTGCCAGCATAAGGAATGCAAAGCATTCCTATTCCATGTTAGGCAAAGCATAATACTGTTCCTATGAACATTTGGAAGTCATGTGCTGGTGATTAGGCATATCATCACCAGCAAAATCACAATCCTGAGCAAACTCAAGTCTCTCAGTAAAGAGAGACTCAGTCTCTCAGTAAAGAGTCTTGCTTTGCCAAGACTAATGGACAGAAATATTTTTCTAGACAGTCTTCCTCCCCCGCCCCCCCCCCCCCCCCCGCCCCCCAGCCATAGCCCCGGGCTGCGGCAGGCACCGGGGTGGGACCCCCCAGCGGCCCCGCTCCCCGACCTGCCGCACTCAGGTACGTCCCCCCCGGCCCCGCCGCCTGCAGCCCCCCGAGGCCTCCTACGCGCCGTAGCTGGTGAAAAATAGCCTTTACCGTCCCCTGGAAGTTTAGCTACCACTGAAAAGTCTGAAGCCTTTCTGCTTTTGATAATACACTATGTTGTTTCTCTTACTGTAAAGGGAAGTTTATTACCGTCAAAAAAAGTATTTTTATGAAGATAAAAAAAAAAATACAGAATTAAGCCGTGCTCCCTGAGAAAAAAAGTACTTTGTGATTCTGCAGGAAAAAGAGATAAAGAAGTGTATTTTGAAATAATAGATGCATTTTGTATGGTTTCCTTTTCTAAACTCCTGGTTTGTACTACAGATTGCAGAACTCGCCCCCCAGCCCGCCCCACTGCCCCCCCGAGGGCTGCCCTGGGTGGCAGCGGAGGAGGCAGAGAATTCACACAGGGCTCCAGAGCCTCCCCGACCAACTCCAAAGATGCGGCAAAGCGACGCGCAGAGCGGAGGGGCCCCGCGGCCGCCCCCGGCCAGGAGCACAGAGCTGGCCCAGCCACCGCCGCTTCAGGGAACCAGCACCCAGCAGCACAGGCGGGAGCAGCGCAGCCAGCGACGCACACCCCCCCGGATCGAGATACCTTCATACCAACTGTGGCTCAGGGCAGCGTATTTTAAACTGTGCTCTTTTTAAGGAGAAAAAAAAAAAAAAAAGCCACCAAAACATCATGAGTTAATTTAAGTTCCTTCTAAGAACCTGTTCACATCAGCAAAGCAACAAGCACAACCTGCTGAGAAGAACAAGACCACTGAAAAGGTTTAACCTCCAGTCCCAGGTGCGTCAGATTTGCCAAAAAAAAAAAAAAAGGGTGTGATGTCAACACAATGTATATAGTGTATAGTAGGGGAGCGAATAAATGTATCTTGATTTGTCATTATTTTGCTAACCAAAGCTGTACATTTTTCCTATTCCTTGCTCTCTGTCTCCTTTGGGTTTTGAATGGGTTACGATATACTACGCATCCAGTCCGCATCAGCAGTTCTGAAAATGCACTGTTTCTACTGATACTCATGCTTTTTCCATTTTATTGCTGAGATTACATGAATTGTTGACTTTATTTTTACACAATAAAGAGTGAAGAAAGACACTGGGTTCTCTTAAATGTGTCTGTTCCCTAAGCTGCCAGTGCTCGGGAGCCAATCTTTCTGCACAGGAAGGTTTTGCCTGCCTAAAGCAGGCATTTCTGCCCCGTTCTCAGGCCCCCCGAGCCTCGGCCGTACCTGCCAGGCTCTCTCCTTCTCCTGTAACATCAGAGCACATCTTTCCGTGGTTTATGCAACGCCATCATACACGTTGATTTTTTTTTTTTTTTCCCCAAGACGCAGGCTGGCAGCTCAGCTCCCTCTGGCTGCCTCTGCCGGGCTGGCGATGGCAGGGACAGTGACACCCCGCAGCCCACAGTGCCCGATGCCCGGCAGCTCCCTGCAGCAAACGTTCCCGGTGCAGGCACCGCTGACAAACCCCGCAGGACTGCGCAGCTCCCGCTCCCTCCCTGCAGGCAGGAGCTGCGCTTGGGGCATTTTGCTCATCCTTTGGGGAGCCAGGCTGGGCTCTAAACGTGGTTCCTGGAAGGCATCGCTGCAGAGGGCAAATCTGAGCGCAAGGGTGACGCCAGGGCACGTGGCTGGGAGGGCGGCGTGGCCAGAGGCCACGGGCGCGGGGACTTGGCAGCGGAGGATGGCGTGCGCAGGGCTGCGCATCACGGGGCGCCTTGCGCTGTTCCTGAGTAATTGCTACAAATTCCCACTTGTTACGCATCTGCTGCAGAACAGGCTTGCCAGATAAATTGCTTTTAGCATCAAAGTAGGAAAACTACTGTGTACGCCTTAAAACCAGCCAGAAACAATTCCCGTGCACACACGCACCTGTAACTCCCCCCATCCCATCGCAGCTGGGAATGGGAGCGGTATGGGTCCAGTTCAGTACTGCTGCCTTGGGCACCGCGCAGCCCTTGGTGGCACCAGCGCTCCCCTTCCTCCGTAAGAGCAAGGACGCGGTGACACAGCCCGGAGGGTCGCGGCTGGCAAAACTCAGCAGAGCCCTCGCTGCTGCCGTGCTTGTGACCAGCGAGTCTCAGCTCCCGGGGGCTGGCGAGGGCCACGGCGAGGGTCCCGCAGCCGCCTGTGCTGCGTCTTTGTCTGCAGCCTCTGCTAACGGCATCCCCGACGGGTCACCCGCCACCTCCCGCATCTGCAGCTGCCAGAGGACAGCCACCCCAGGGCCCCTCGCCTTCACCCAGCGCCTGCCACCCTAATAAAGCCTGTTTTCCTTCGGAGGGTTTGCTCCTGTGACTGTTCCAGGTCCTTTTCAGGATGTCTCAAGTCATAACCATCGTAATACAGGCAACAGCGTCCAGGGTGAGGGAGAGAGGGAGGGTGCCCCGAGCCAAACTGCAGGTCTGAGGACCCAGCATGTTTTCCCATGTCGCCAGCCACAGACAGAAGCAGATGCAGAATTACAAGCACTGGGTACCCTTGTCAGGGGACAGGTAGCATCAGGAATCCTCCCGGGGCAAGAGGTAAAATGATACATCAAAACTTTTTTAGGGCAATTTACTGAGCCCCACAGGGGACAGGCTGAGAGCGTAACATGCCACTCATCAGTCACTCTTGCAGGTGATTAGAGGGAAGGCACAGATGGGCTGCCAAGGGAGCCTCAGCCACGGCTCGTAGGTGGGCAGGATGGGGAGCAACACAGGCACAGGAATTAAAGCAGGGGCGCGATGCCAGAGGACACAGAAGGGGTGTTGAAGAGAATGGTGCAACCAAGAGTTTCCCCCTCCCCGATTCCCCAGATCCCCCTCAGATGTAGAAGTGATTTAGATCATCACCTTGACAGCCTTACAAAGGCATCAACATCGCAGAGATCCAGGCAGAAACCCCCCACCACGCGCACCCCCCTTCCCCAGGCAGCTCTCCTCCTCCCCAGCCCTCCGAGCAGAGCTCAGCCCTCTCTGCCAATGCAGATACCATCCCCTTCCCCCCCGCCCCTGAAAACCAGCTGCTCCAAGGACAGGCTGCTTGCTTTCGTGTCACTGGGAACAGCCTACATCTTTGCAAGGGGAATGCTATTTTTACCCAGGGAATGGGTGGCAGCTCCTGTATTGTTCTCAGCCACCGCCAGCCCACCCCAGCTCCGAGCGGGGCCCTGCCCGCGGGGACAGCGTCTTCTCCGCTACACTCAGCCATCCCAGGTGCCAAGATAAAACTCCAGCGCCCACCCGCTACCGCAGGAGAGGGAAATGATACCCTCAGCTGGAGGCTTGTGCTGCGCTACAATTTAAACTGCAATAAAAAAATTACACTAACAGGCATATTGGGTTTTTTTTTCTGCTGGTAGCTGGAAAACATTGCAGCGATTAATCGGCATGGCAGGGGCGGAGCGGGTGGGAGGCTGCGGGATGGGGGTGACGGTTGAGGGGGCTGGCGCTGGAGGAGCTGAGGCTTCTGCATCAAGAGAGGGGTAACAAACCTCCCGGTGCATCACCTCCCCAGGGCTGCGAGGGGACCCTTGATCTGCCCCTCAGCCCCACAAAAACTCGTGGGTGTTGACCCCCCCCGTGCCTGCCCTCATGCGTACAGCCATTTCGGGCAGCGAGAAGAGGGGCAGAGCAGCCGTGGGGCCATCCCTGCCCATCCCTGTCCGGGGCAGCTCAGCACACAGCAGCAGCTCCAGGCCTGCGACCCGCGCGTCCCAGCGCTGCCGCTGCTGCAGCAATGCCAGCTCCCGCGGCAGGCAGGGAGGGAGGACGCTGCAAGAGGAGATGAGCAGCACAGGCCCATCAATAAGATGCACTAATCCTGACACCTCACCCTGCAACCAGAAACTGCTGCTTTGGGCTGAAAGCTATTTAGTGGCACCAGGCACCCGCTCTGCCTCAGTGATGCTGGTGACAGCTAGCATCCCCTGCAAGCGCAGGGATAAGGGAGAGTGTTACCCACACCAGCGCCGAGTGCACTAAATCCAGGAGGCTTTTAGAGCAGCGGAGCAGATGGAGATCTTGGGCTGCGTGAGGACAGGCCCCACGACTCGGGAGATGGCTCAGAAATATTGGCGGGGGCGAGGGAGAGTTCTTAAGGGCAGGATACAGCTGGGATTTACAGCTCTGATCCAACTTCTCGCTGGCGACTCACATGGAAGGGAACCCACTCTCGCATGCAGGCGTTTTGCACCCCGTTGCCCATCCCTTTCTCTCCACTCCTCGGGCACAGGTCAGCTCCACCAAGGGCTTTCAAGAGGTGAGAGGAGGTGATGGGCCAGATGCAAAATTAAATCGGCTGCATTTTATAGCAAAACAACCATGAAAAAACAGAGAGACAGCA